AACTTTTATTCATTAACCTATATCAAATCCACACTGTTAATAAAGAATTTTAATAATCTATAAGATAACGTGGAGATCAGATAACTTGTATTAGATCTTAACTGTATCTCAATATAAATAAAAGGCATGTCTTTAAATGATCATTTTAAATTTGCAAAAGCACCAGGCAAGAACATCTAAACGGTCATCTTTTTTAATGATTGATCCTTTTTCTCTGACACATGAAATAAATGAAAGCAATGAGTAACGAGGTTCACCGTGCGTGGCGATGGGGGCTCCGTTCGGCGTAGAAAAACCTCGTTATTAGAAAAAAACAACTAATATATCTTTATTCGTTAATTATACTAAAAAGTGCGAGACAGGAGGTCCGGTGGACACTGGTTGCAACCTGTTCGCAAGTGAGTCAATACAAATCGAGTCAAATCTTTCTTAGCTATTCAATGTTCAGAGGGAAAATCATAACATCGCGTTTCAGAATTTCATAGAAAACGCTCAATGCCATCTAGCGGCAAATTGTTGCATTTTAATCTGTTCTGAGCTAATGTTTGGTTTGTATAAATTAACTTCGATAGTTTCATGTTGAGCCTCAAAACTAAGACAAATGAGCACTATAAAAATCTGAGACCATGTTCGAAAACGCGAGCAAATTCGCTTCGGGATGCTTTGTCATATACTAATCTAACCTACTGAAAAAAGAGGACCAAGTATCATTTTTGTCTATCAAATATTAATTTAGTATGCTTAAACATAATTATAGTGTTATATTGAATACAGTTAATTTGTAATTTACCCCTAGACATCCACGATTGCCATGTTCATGTGTCAGTTCAAATCGTATTTAATGGAAAATCAAAAGAGGTATGACGAGTGGGGTATTTATTAGTAAAATGTTTGTTTTTTTTTGTTTTGTGTAGTTTCTTAAGTGCCGCAGATGTTATATTATATTGTAGTGTATATATTTATGTGTGGCAAAATGTTGTTATTGCTTATTGTACGGCGTTCAGTTTCTTGGTGGCCATAGAATATCAGCGCCGCCGGTTTGTTTTCCTGAGCAGTTCGGCTGAGTGGTGATCTTCTTGGTTCTTTGTATATTCAGTTAAAGCTTTAGTGTAGCTTTTTTCTTTCTTTTTTGTGACGAGACCAAATAAATATCTTTTCTTTCTGTCTTTCATTCTTGATCAACTAATATAGACGGAACAGTTAATATATATATTTATAAACGTAAAAAAATGTCGTTCATTTAAAAAGTGCACATTTACAATAGAGCAATTATATCTCTTAGGATCAAATAATATAAGCCTTGCATATTGTTAAAAATAAACAAGTAATAATTATAACGTTTTTATTTAAAAAAACGACCTCATAAGTTCCGGTGTGTTCGTTACCGCGGTCTCCTCAACTACACCTGAAACGCATATGGAAGTCCTCGTCAAAGTAGCTGCTGTACACTGTTGAGGAGTTTCTCTCATCTGTCTGCTATTTCTACCATCAGATCAGCTCTAGGTCACCATAACATTTTATTTTCATTGGGGCAACATGTATATACAAGTTTTATTGAAATCGGTTAACGAAAAATGAGTGCAATTCGATAAATCGTATTCATCCCCTAATTTGCCACCTTTAGAGCGGTTACGGTTTAGGAGATGCAAATGCGATCGATGCAAGCGCGCGACTGCATCGATACAAACGCGCGATTACATCGCTACACTTGGGATTTATGGGCGATTGCATCGATACAATCCCGCGTTTATATCGATGCAGTAGCGCGTTTGTATCGATGCGCTTCACGAACGAGTAGAACTTAGAGTTGGGACATTTTCTTCAAATTTGAATGGGACTACTAGAGACGTAACCCTTTTCCAATAAAAAAGAATTATGGAATTCGATTCACAAAATGTCAGAGCATAACAAGTACACAGAAAATATATGGAAATTAAGAATAACTAAAAGAGATTACGTTTAACATAACCAAATCAATAAATTTTTAGAAGGGTGCTGGTGAAATTAGAGGCACATTGGGCTTATCAACTTATGTCTCAGGATGACGGCGCACTAGCAGTGCCCACCAGATCTTTACGATTTAAAGCTCAGAGTTCAATAGCTTCAATAGCTTCAAGTTCAATAGCTTTTTTCAATCAATTGGCGGGACGAAGAAGACGTACGCCTGGTGGTAACCGACACGCTCAGAGCTTTAAATCGCAAAGATCTCAGGGGCACAGCCACTACTGTAATGTGTCGCTTACCATCTGTCTGTCCCATCACCTACTATCATAAAAAAATATATAGGCATGTACAAAATTCTCAAAAGTACGTAAGTTTAAATTAAAGTCATACTAGGTACATGCCCCACGGGTATTCAAACCGTCGGACCTTCCATCCGTTCACGTCGGTCGGGACTACCACTGCAGCTCTCCAAGTATCATCGACCAAACTATCGTACAAAAATAGTTATTTATGATGCTAGTAATATAGTCCTGCGAGCTTGTTATACTTTAAAAATAACCCTATATATGCTCACCAGCTCACCTCTTCGAAGAGGCGTCTTATTACCTTTCAAATCTGGCTCCAAGTTCACCGGCGTGACTCAACAACATGCGGATTCGAAATGCTTTTATGATTAATTTACACGACGACGCGGTGGTTAGGTGTTACTTATTATTCTGTAAGATTTTACGGTAGAACCAGTGTTTAGTCGATACGTTTTGTGCAAACGACGTACGCGTTGGAATGATTGTTAATAGCCGACTTCAAAAAAAAGGAGGAGAAAGAACTGAACGAGACTGATGTTTTCAATCTCGGGAATATCGACATTTTTTTTAAATTAAAAAGTATTAAAAATCTACTACACACAGATTTTTTTTATTCTGAGCTGTAACGTTTATTGCACTATTCGATTTCCTAACTTTAACTTAGCGAAGTGCAATATGAGTTAGGTATTTAGAGTATATAACTTAATTAAGATATCATGTTTTAACTACCTAAATGCTTACTTTTGAACTAGTCTCGAAAGTTTTTCTGAAGATTTTTCTGGGATTTTTTCTGAGACCGCATTCAAATTCAAATTCAAATTCTTTATTTGCCACGTCACAAAGCTCGTAACATTTAGCACGTCAATAGTACAAAATTCTTATCAAAGTCATTTACTGCTAACATTTAATATTACCTATAACTAACGCACACACTCAACATACTACTAGAACTAAATTCAAAGATTTGCACAATATACACATAAATTTAAATATTATTTAATAATAGTATATTGTTATGATATAAATCGCATAAGTAATAAATCATTAATAGATACATTAAATGTTATAAAATAATGAGCATTTTTTTGAATGCATAAGGTCAAAATATTCGTCAACTTTATAGAATGGATTTTCAATAAAAAAAAAAATTATCTTTGTTTTGAATTCTAATTCGGGCAATTCGGATATAGTCGGTGGTAGTTCATTGTACAATTTTATCTTTAGACAGGAACCTTGCTTAGCAGTTCTTTTCAATCTCGTTTTTGGTACTACCAGTTGCATTTGCAGCAGCATTGAGTTTTGTCTTTTTTTTTCTCGGGACGAGGAAATGCAGCGAGATTGAAAGCCTAAGGCTTAAGGGTACAAACACACATTATATGATTTAACACATAATTAAGTACAATTATACAACACTTATCAATAAATAATTCGTCTTATCAACTAAATAAATTGAGTTATGAAACAAACTAAAAAATAATAGAACGGGCGCTGTGCTATCATGGGATCTCAATTGACAAGCGTGTCAAGAGGCTTAAAGGTGACTCGGAATTAGTATAAGCAAAGCTGCAGAGGCTTGAATACCGCCGTAAAGTTACCAGCTTATCGGTATTTTACAGGATGTCACGGAGTGTGCGTTGGAATGACACGATTTCATTCTGCCTTCCCGTTTCCATCATCGGGGGACTGGACGTAGGCTTAAATTCCACCCCTATCTTGTGGATATTCCAAAGATTCGTACGAAGCATTACGCTTCCACATTTATATGGTAAATGGCTTTGGAGTGGAATTGCCTGCCTGCAGACTTGTTCCCTGAACGTTATAACTTGGACCTGTTCAAGGCTAGATTGAATAGGCCATGTAACTAAGGGCGTAATTACATAACACACAAAAAAATAACATGCAGTCGAACGTTACATTACATAACAAAACGTTACATGAGCCGCTACGCGTTAAGAAGATGTAATTCCACAAACTCAAAGACGGTTGTTTTTGTAAAAAGTTATAGTTATAGAAATATGCTACCAGTATTAATAAATCCATTTTAAATCATCATCGTTATATGTCCCAATGCAGACGGGTTTCCTCTAGCGAGTATTCAGGCACAGTCTACTGTACTGGTGGCTAGTAGATAGGAAATAGGAAAGAAAATTACACTAGATATGGACAAATAATTTAACGCTACAACTTATTCGTAAGGCATTTCTGGAGCAGTGTAGCTCCTTGTGGAAGAGTTTGTCCAGGGAACTACTGCCACCTTACTTATTACTACCGCGAAGCAGTAATGTGTATATGCTGTTGAAACTACAAACACATGCGATTATGTCTGAGGGTCTGAGGGAGGGTAGAAGTCAATCAAATACTTCACCTCCTGCGTGGACATTGTTTTAACCTAGGGGAAATTTCGACGTACAAAGTTGTATGGCAAAAGAAAAATTTAAAGACGAGTTGCAAAAGTGGTTCCAACTGGGGCCACTGGGATTTTGTGCACGCTGATGAAATTAGATGTTTATAACTTTGAGATCTTAATGTTGTGCTGTGAGTAGCTGTCACAGTTTTAAGTTTACATAGCCGACGAACTTGCAAAACTTTGCACTCTGCGTAGAGTTTATCTGTGTTATACTCAAAAGGTTTGCGAGGCGTAACTTCTAGCACTGCCCGTTAAGTGAGGGTTAATGGTTCATATTTATCATTTAGAACATTTATAAGTTATATATTTTAAAAATATTTTAAATAATATATTGTTTGTTTTAGCCATCACAACCGGCAAGGAGCGTCGGTCTCCTGAGCAAGAGGAGAGCCGGTCGTCTCCCACTCCGGGGCCGCCCAGTCCGCAAAACGGAGTCAATGGTAATTTCTTGTCTTATGAAGTCATTTTACTTATTATCTACCAGCATAGGCTATCTAACCATTCTGGTTCAGTATCTAAAAATGATCCTTTCCTTCGACACCAACCGAACATCAATTTTTCGTTAAAAATAGTACAAACAAGAACAAAAACAGTGTCCAGGTTTTTCCAGCTTTCATACGATTGTTTCTTGAATGTCTCCAACAAACTGCTCTGCAGTTTGGCATTCTTTGAATTTGTTGTCAGGTGTTATTTTTGTATAATTTTTTTAAACCTATTATGCGAGAAGCCTGTTCTTTTCCTTGTGCATGTACTAAATATATGGTCTTTTAATAGCTTAACTCATACGGTGGCTGGAAGCATTTGTTTCGTCGCTGAAAGGGGACGTACTGTGTACGATATTTCATTTATTTAAGGCTTTAGAAAGGCATACCAAAATCATGGGGCACGTCTTGTATACAGAAAGCATACTAGTACACGCGTCCAGGTCGCTGCGAGATGCGTTCTACATTAGACCAGTGGCCTTACCATGAACTCTTATTACAGTTCAGTATAGGTTCCTAACGACAAAAAAGCGGGATGGTGATATATACTTCATGTAGCGCTGTCTCACAACGAATCGTAATAAGAGTTCATGGTAAGGCCCCAGTACACAACAAGTGACGTAATCAGCTAAACAAAAGAACTTGGCCCATCATCTGTCAGAGTTCGTTCGCCAAAAAAAAAGTAATAGCAAATAGATCAGGAATTAGAAAGAAAGAAAATAAATTTATTTGTTTACCACAATGACACCACAAAAGACAAAAAAAGAGAGAAAACGGAACAAAACAGAATTAAAACAAAACACGATCAAAACATTCAACGTAAATCATAAATAAATAACTAAGAAACAAAAATACAAACAAACGCAAAAGAAAAAAGTATATAGAAAAATTTGATAAGATTAAAACAGGAACTATTCACACAAATAACAAAAAAAAACACTAAATATTGAGATACTTTGTGTGGTGCCAGGCGCGGTAACAAAAGTGTCATAAACTCAGTAACTGCTGGAAAACGCAATGAGTTCCCAGCACTGATTTTCAGTTAAGACCCTACGTGAGGTCACGGAACAACATATGCACGAAGTTCACCGTCCATCAGCATTCCGAGAATTAGTCCATTTCACGAGGATATATTTTTCGTTTCTGTCAGAGTTAAGTGTATTATAATGTTTTGGAAATCATTACGCAATATATCCTCCCCAGCAGCCGCTCTGTCATCCACGGAGTCCCTCTCCCCACCTCTACCTGAGGGCTCACGCTCAGCACCGGCACTCCAGCGATTGAGGAAGTTCCTCTCAGCACTCCAGCACTTCGCGTCGGATGTAGGTGCTGACACGGGAGAGAGAGTGCGACAGCTTATTTACAATCTAGTTGTGAGTATTTCTTTGTCAACTGACAAATATTAGTGTGTCACCTCGCTGTGTTTGAAAATGATCTGGTTCCATGAACTACGACTGGAGGCTGATGTTGTGCAGCCTGTGAACGTTCTTATTGGACATACATTCTCTGACTAAAGACCCTTACTTGTCAAGCCAGGTTGACAAATAGAGCTCGTTGTGAATAAGTTCGTCCAGGGAAGTACTGCCACCTTATCTGTTTCTTCCTTTCTTGTTGTCATTTTACGACATCTATATAACTCAATATTTTATCGTCTCAGGCGGGTACGATAAATACAGAAGAATTTCAAACGGGGGTGCAGGAAAGCACGAACTACCCTTTACGTGCATCGGTGCCCGGCTTCCTTCGCGCGTTGCTGCCGCTTGCGCAGCGGGACCTTCATGCGCGCGCAAGACGAGCCAAGCAGGTGGGATCATAGGCGATAAATTTCCTTGTGAAAGAGTCTCCAGAAAGATACTGCTACCATAACGATTTATGCCGTCAAGCGTTAGCAAATATTTCTGCGTTCCGGTTTTCAAAGTGGACTTTCAAACTTAGGACTTGTTAACTTAATGTCTCACAGCGACGAGCGCAGTGGCAATGTCTTTTAAATGTTTGCCATTTAAAGCTCTGACCTGCACTGCAACTGTTGTGGATAAGCGTGTCGCTTACCACCAAAAAATAGCCCTCTAGCAGAAGTTCCAACACTCGCGTTCACTATTACAAATAAGGCAAATTAAAGATTTTCATACAGACTTAAATTGCGACCTGGAAGAACACTCACCACTATAGAAAGTTTATAATATGTATAATTACATCGGATTCTTTGTCCTATAACTGAAGCCTAACTGCGAACCCTACATGTCATCTCTAATTAATTCTCTGCGGTATCTTGAATAGTTAACATATTCCTTCTCACCACCAGACCCCTCTTCAGTACATCCGATTGCACGAGCATCTCATACTGGAAGCGACGAGTGACAGCGGGGATATCTTCGCACCGCAGCCGCCCGGTGAGCCACAAAAGCGCAGAGCAAGTGATCCGTAAGTAATATTATTATATTTTCGATGTCTCTCTTTCTTTGCATAACACAGCGTCTGGTACAAAGACTGTAGCACACATCCCTCTCCATATTGTTTGCCATTCTTTTTATAGCAGGCACCGCGGCGTTATATAGATGACGAAGTAAGAAGTATTAACCCATCTGCACAATTTTATCTAAATAAGTAATTCCTCGAATCCTACAATTGTATGATACTTATACCTTTATATTGTTAAATTGAGTATTTCAACGCCCAAAATATTGTATATTAATATGTTCCCAACTTAGTTTGAAAAGCAACAACAAAGCCTATCAAAACGAGTGCCTATCAAAAGGGTAAAGATACGTCCTTCAAAATCCATTAGCCAAAAATCACCGGCATACAATCTCTATCAATACGCGTCGACACCGGCGACTGCCTCCGACAGGTAATTTGTCCCTCCCCCGCGCACCTCCCATCCCCCAGCTGTCAACGGCACCCACTTTGAACCACGCTGAACACTTTTTGCGGTCAGCCTTTGATGAAATTGGGATAGGATTGAGCGCTAGCAACCTGATTGAAAATAAAAGCAATTATGATTTGATGATTTTGTTTGTGACGTTTTTAGCAGGCGTTACATTTAGTTGGATTGTTTAGTTTAGATATTGTTTTTAGTAGAACTTCAGTTATTGATAGAATGGTTGTCCTTCAAGATCGTTAATCGAATTCACAAGAACAAAAAGTTTTTGTTAAATGGGTTAGTATTTAGTAAGTAAGTACTTAGTTCAATAATTGTATTATTTTTTAAATAGACTCTTAAAAATATGTACTTACATAAAATTAAAACTTAACGTACAAGTACACCACCCCATCTATAAGCCCATAAGTGCACTACGCCGTCATGAGTCCTGTTTAGCTCTGAATTATTATTATTGAACCATTTGGCCGGCGGGCGCTTTAAATTCAGACGCCATTCGTTAGATCCGCATGCGTGGAAATATAGCCTCCTAAATTTGTGCTACACGCAGCGGTTTTGGCTCGCAATGCCTATTTGGGGGTATTGATTAATTTTTGATATTTATTTGGCCGTTTAACGAGCTGCTTTAAAAGGAACACAAAATATGACTATTACTACACGTGTATTGGTAAAACAAGGTTTGTTAAATGTTAATCTCATCATAGCTACAAATTAAAGTTCATGAGAAAGTTATACGTCTTTGTCTCAAGTAAGTAACTTCCATAACTAACACTTAATGGCAATTATTTCTTACTCAAGTGTTTTAAAAAGTTTTAACTAGTCGTTAAACAATTATGATTTCTTCTAATTTTAGAAATAATTTCATAAATGTTAGTTTTCAATTCAGTAAATCTCCGGAAATTATTCCAATAATATTTCCAGTTTTAAGCTGTTAAAGTTTGTTATTTGAGCGTAATGATTCAACGCCTGCCGGTTCAGTGCTAGCAATTATCGCGATCAGAACTTTGCTATTACGTTACAAGCAGGCGCTAGGTACGGTTAATAGCTCCAACAGATGTTACCGATCGGTTCTCAGTTTTCAAACTACTATTTTTAATATGTTGGATGTGTAGAAACAATAAAATGTTTCTCACTTAATTATACGAGCTGTTTAACGATTGTTTTCCAACAATTTCAGATTTTGCATTATAGTAGTACAACTTATATACTCGGAACTTGGTTTGACATTGTTTATTTTTGGAAATGTTTACACTTCTTATCAGAACCTAAAATAATCAAAGATCCGATCTGTACATTTCTTCGTCTCAAGCTAAGGAATTACCCTTACTATGAGTACCAGAGTTTTAGTAACATTAGAGCTCCTTGTGAAAGAGTTCATCCGGGGAAGTAGTTATTTCTGTACCTTGTACCATACTCATTGCTACCGCCAAGCAATAATGTGAGCTTTACTATGTTCCGGTTTTGAAGGGTAAGAATGTTGATGAAATTACAGGCACGTGTCAACTTATGTTTCAACTTATGTTGATAGACAATGCCCCTCAGATCTTTGTGATTTAAAGCTCTGAGTGGTACTTCAACTGTTATGGATAGGCATGTCGTTTACCATCAGGAGCACAACTTGTTCGTCCCGTAATTTGGTAAAAAAAAAAGTTACGAAATTAACCCAGAGTACTCTAACCAGAGCAACTTAAGAAAAAAATTCAGTTGGTTCTAACGGGATTGAACCCCGGACATCCTAGCTAGACAGTCGATATGGCACTGATTTCAATTAAGGAGTCTACCCTCTCAGTGCTGTACATATTAATTAACTAAAATTAGTAGAAAAAACAAATCGTAAAATAAAACTTCGAAATGTCTGATATTAAAGTAATAGCAATTAGCACGATCAAAGTTTGATAGCTAATTGCCGCAACTAAACAAGCAGGCGTTAGTTTAATGCCGCTTTCAAGTGCACCCGTGCGCGAACATATGTCGCCCGTTTCTGAACTAACACGTTTTCCATTAATTCATTTATTATTAATATAAATTTAATTTTCTTCGTGTATGATAATATTCCATCTACACAAGTTTATAACAGCCTAAAGCTATACCTCACAACAGAGAAGCTAATGATAGTCTACAACAGGAGGATGTACTGTTCATTGCTGCATTTGAAGCTGCAACTTGGTATCTATACAAGAAGACACTAGTACTCCTCTCCTGGAAGACATCAGAAGAAGATGACATAGATTTTACAAATCGTATTCCTTATAGGAAATTAGAACCAAAATTTCTTCTTCAGCTAATTTAATATTTTGATCCCTGCTAGAGTCTATCTTTTTTGAAGACGGAGTAAAATGACAGTTCTATGGGCAAAAGTGTTGCCAGTTTACAAGCAGCTAGTGATTGCAGTCCATACGTATTCTATGACCTGTCGACTGAATATTGGTTACGCTTATGGAATAAATAGCTGAACTTGTTTCATTTGAATCAACCTCGACCATTCATCCAATTACTGAGCACAAGATCATTTGAATTGTCAATTTTTGTAATACAAAGAAGAGACATTGTAAGGCTTTTCATTTTAATTCAATATTATACATAATCAAATCCGGCTGTTCTTGTTAAAATGTATATTGAATAAAAATTGATTTCGATGCTGGTAGGCCAACTGTCAAAATAAGAATGAAGAATAACACAATTAGTAGTAATTAGAACGTAGTAACATTATTCAGCATTGTTGGAAAAATTTTATCTTCTTTCACAATGTATCGATAGAACTATCGACAACAACTACAGAACTATTTAAAATTTTGTGAGAACTGGCAACCCTACAAATGTCAGTTTGAGCCGTTTTCAAAAAAGACAGACTATAGTATATACGTCTATAATTAACTTGAAATACACAAAAACCCCTCCCTTTTTCGACGGGTGCTTTAACAAAGACCGTCGTGTTATTTAATTCAACTTATTTACCGCGTACGTAAATAAACTAATTCCTTTCAAAAGCAATAGCTGCTGGTATAATAAAAAGTTGTGCAATTAATTCCACAAGTTGTCGAGCAGAGTAGTGCGCTGTTCCGCCCCGCCATACATCAAACGGTGGTGATCGGGTTACGGACAATGCGTGTCGATATTTGGGGGATGGTACTGTAAATAAGCGACAAGCGGCATAGCTGTTTATCGTTTCAAAATTCGTCCTGAATAATCTAAATTTTTTGTTTAAATTTTTATTGAATTGACTTTTAATTATTTTTATGTGAAATTCACTCCATTTCACTAGTTTGTTATAATTATTAATACAAAGATCGAACACTCAGAAAAAATTCCTTCGATCCGGCCGGATTCGAACCGACGCCATATTCGAAAAATTTTTCGTGGTAATATGTTTTACACTTTAACAATTTCTTCATTTAGGAAATGAAACTATTTTTCCGGATTTAAATCGCGTATATTTGTTTTTTCAAACAGTACTGGTACAGGTAGTACAGTATAACTAGTTGAAGACTGTACCACCTCTGTCAATCGTGACCATGGGACCTGTAAAGGGCGCGAAACGTCGGTTTGTTTGAAAAAACAAATATACGCGATTTAAATCCGGAAAAATAGTTTCATTTCCTATGTGTAACAATCGCGAAAACCTAAGAACTCAATAAATTTCTTCACTTTTCCCGTCACTTGATAATAATGTGATATTTTAAAAAAACCTGATTAGCATAAGGACTATAGAAGGCAAAATGACCACCTCTGCAGAAAGACTATAAATTATCATGATTTGGTAGCAAAATGACTAAATATCGAAAAAACCATATTGTTAAATAGACCCATTGACTTACAAATAAAATAGACCACATGGCAAAACGACAGTGAAAGGACGAAATTTGATAATTCAATTTTTGTAAATCAGACCATCAATTTTCGTCGAAGTAACTCCGACGTTCAATACGCTGAAAATGTCAAACAAGATGAAAATTTAAATTATATAATATATAGTTTATATATACATCGACACAGCATCAATTAATTAAATACATAAGTGTACCGAATCTTTTTATCAACTAAAATAGTGACACCACTTGCTCGAGTTAGGACCGGCATTAAAAAAGTTAGAAAAATAATCTCTGTACAGAGTACTAAAAAGCCGACCTCAAAAATTCGTGGAATTACATCTATATGCCACGTTTTATTGAAATCGGTTACCGGAAAGTGCGCGAAACCGGATTCATCCCCTAGTTTGCCACCCTTAGAGGTGGAACATTTTCTTCAAATTTAAATGGGACCAATACTGAGATAAACTCTTTCCAATAAAAAAAGAATCATCAAAATCGATTCACAAATTTTTTTATGCATTTACAAATTTTATATATTTTTGTATTATTTTACGCGGAGTTATCGCGTAAAATAATACAAAAAAAAAACCAGTGAAATTGAAAACCTCCTCCATTTTTTTGAAGACAGTTAAAACATTATTTGTGGTGTATTGTTGTTTGTATAAGTGCCTTTATTACATGAAAGTTATAATAGTAATACGAACTGCACGTAACAAACTAAATGTAGGTGTGTGAAATTTTATAACTCTCCTACTTACAATTTTTATAACTCGACTAATTTCGTTCATAGAATCTTTGAACCTCTCTCCTGAAAGTTATCATTTTGCAGATGTGACCTGTTTACATCAATCGTGCGATTGATTTATATATTTTTTTATTGTTTTTAAATAAGTCTACATAAAAACCCTAAAGAAACATTGTGAATCAAAATGCATTCTTATAACGCCTATAGAGCATGTGTATTGAGTATTGCAAGAAATAAATGTATCAGAATTTAAAAAAATACAATACTTAGTATATATTTATAAGGATATATATATAGAATATCTACATTGTACAATATTTTTCATGACTTTGTCATCTGGTATTTTCATCTTCTAACTTGTACCACATCCTAAATATTTGTAGGAAGTTTTGCATTGTCTTTTAATTCCATTGTTTTGTTCAAGATAGACCACAAAAGGGTTTGATTCGTTAAGTGCAAGGGTCCTTTGCTTTAAGCTTTGTTTTAACCTCTTTCCTTTGTACGCCTTGTGGAAAGAAAAGAGCGATGAAATATTATAAACCAAATGAAATAAACCACATACCTGCTGGTGCTGCGACTTCGTCTGCGCGACTGTACGACTTACTTGAGAAATGATTGCTTCTCCATACAAACTTTCATTCCCTATCTCACCCCATTTAAGATTTATTGTTGTGACAAAAAGTAGCCTATCAATGCGTTACTTACTCAAACTCGTGTCTAATAAAGAGTGATTATTCAGGAGATAGAAAACCTTTCTATTTATTTTAAATTTGTTATAAAGGGGGTTAGTTCGGATGCATTATTTTATGAATAGTTAAAATTTGTATAAACAATTCATTTTTTGCATTTCAGTTACTTTGTGCTATAAGATACGAGTTTGAGAAAGTAAGACGCTATGTCCTTCTCCTAGCTCCATATCCGCTCACGCGATGCGCTCCTCCTACCGCAAAATGGCGGCTATTTGGTTTCGCAAATTAGAAAAGTTTCAATACAAGTTTTTATAAATAAAAATTATTATTCTGCATTGCTAAATAAATACCCTCCGTACTACCAACAAAAACATCTCAAATAAAATGCAATAATACACCGCAAATCCTGCACTTAAAAGCAGTAATGAAATTTTTGGTGTACTTGGATAAATATGATAATATTCCGTTTGAGTGGTTCTAACGTTTACCATGAAATTACTCCTTAAAGTATAGTTTATAAACATTTATATTCAGGGTAAACTTAAAAAACGCTACTTACGGTATGTTTTCAATAAATAAACACCGAAATCACCAGCCCAAACAATAACACACACGATTGTCGTGACGTCTTTTTGAAGTTGTTTATTTTTTTAAATGACAGACCCAAGCATTAAAAACTTTATGGTTTGCTGGAGTAGTTACCGAAATAGCAATTAATATTAGTTCTTTTACCTGTTATAACTTCGATATCCGATAAATCGGTATAAAATCATCACCGGCACCTCTAGGTGTGGTATGCGTCTACGGCTGCATGTATCGCGTGAGCGCTAAATCATTAATACCAAAGAAGGATGGCGACATCCCGTGTATTTTGTGACCCAGTGTTTTTGGCGACGTGCATTAAGGATACCTATCAATACTTGTGATTTATTATCAAAGCTTAAAAAATCTAATTGAGTTCAGACTGTAGAAGCTGGAGTTATAAAGTTGATATAGGTTATCTTTATAACATTGTACTGTATTTCGCTTCAGATGTTTGTTCGTATTAACAGAACACAACAAATTTTTAGTTTGTTCCCAAAAATAATAAAGAACTTCCCGAATATTCCTAAATCCGCCAATCTCTGTCACATTTAATACAACTTATCATGTTCTGCAGCAATGAAAATTAATAATGATTAAATCTGCCCTTATGACAGAAATCTGCCACAAATGGTCACACTGTTCTCAATATAAATGTGACATTGACATTGGCAAGAGGGTTCTTATCAAAACGTTCCTTTGCAACTTGTATTATCTCTCATTTAACTATAGTCTAAATATTTTTGTCACATTGTGTCTTATTTTTTGCTTTATGTCATTACTCTTCAATTGATTATTTCATTAGGTATTTTATAGCTATAATGTTTTATTTGTGTACTGTAAAGTAACCAATACTTCAGGTAGGTAAACAAGAACGTTACCTAATCTATGGTCGAATTGAATCAATTGCGTTATGTTCTGGTATCTGTTCTAAAATCCAACGTTTTACATTTTTTTATTCCCGACTTCTTAAAATATTCAAAAATATATTGATAACTAGGCATAAACTAAAACGCAAAATTAAACTAGCTAAGTCCATGAACAGCTCTTCGTCGTTATTGGGGTAGCTTTCGCTATCCTTCTTTATCAAAATTGGTTCAGCAGCGGTTCAGGCGTGAAAACATAATAGACATACCTACCATACCATAATAGATACCTTCGCATTTTTAATATTAGTTTGGATTATTATTATTATTTATTTTTTATAATGTTTTTCCTCACATTTGCGATTTGGAAATAGATGCAACGATAATTTATTTCTTGTATGAATACAAGTCACAATCAAATCACGATCCGTTTTTTTTTTCTTTAAACAGATACAGCTATTCTTCCTTAGGAAATACAACTCGAACTAAAATGTTATAGAAGCCACAGACGCATTCAGCAATGTATTACATATAAAATAAATAATTTCCTAATTCTAAAAATGCTGCAGACTTAGAATAATAACGCATAGAAACCTAGTCCGCACACGCTAAGTGAGGCAAACTGAAGCGCGCCCAATGGGCCTACACAAGCGGGCGGGCCGTCAGTGCTCAAGGTCAACTTGCACTAAAACTAGCCTACATGAATTTGATTTATGCCTCACTTGTGACAGTTCGTTTGATATGAAACTATCATTCTATGCCATTGATATAATTGTAAGTCAATGTTCTATGCGTTATTATTTTATGGCTGCAGATTTTAAATTCACAAAACAAATTTTAGTAAAACATAGTTAAATTATAATTATTAATACAAAGATCGAACACTCAGAAAAAAATCCTGATTTTGAAATTTTTTAAACGAACTAGTGGAATAATTTCACAAAAAATAATTTGAATGTCAATTCAATAAAAATTTAAAATATAGTTCAATTGCAAGTGATTCGTTTTTTTTATACTTCAAGTTTATACGAAATGTACATTTTTCGAACATAAAAACTTTTTGCTTAATCTTGACATAAGAATCGTGGGCATAATTTAGGATATTACGGTCGACTTTGCCTGCATTGATGACACTGTTTACGAGCAAGTATGATGAAAATGAAATTTCGCACATAATTCCTGAATACTCCGAGGTACAAGCTCGGATTCGAAACCACAACTCTCTGATTTAGAGGCAGTACGTATTAGGCTACCATGGCTGTTTATACCATAAAAAATACATTTCGTCCTTTCAACTCGAAGAGGCCCCTTGTGATAGAGGTCGTCCAGGAAAGTAAAGAAGTAGGAAGTCGCTTTTACCTTACCTATTCTACCGCCAAGCAGTAATGTGACCATTACTGCCTTCCGGTTTTGAAAGACAAGGGTGCTGGTGAAATTACAGGCACACGGGGCTCGTCAACTTATGTCTCAAGATGACGGGCGCAGTGGCGGTGCCCCTCAGAGCTTTGCGATCTATAGCTCTCAGTGGCACTGCAACTGTCATGGACAAGCGTGTAGCTTACCATCAGGTGCACGACTTGTTCGTCCCGTCACTGGATATTATTAAAAAAATAAAATAGGGCAACTCCCACTTGGTCGGCGCGTAATGCCAGCATAAAGCCTGGGTAACCAATCATTTACGGATACTTCAGGATTCTCATCTGAGATCGCGTGGAAAATAGTCGAAAGTGTATGTAATATATTACTTACTCGGGTTTTCACTTTTCGTAAAGCGTCATCTTCATTTATTTAAATTCGTCACACGAGCCGCCGTTCTCATCAACTGAAAAGTAGATCATGTAAAACTGCTCTACTTCAAAAGAGTGTAATAGTAATGGCTACGAAGGTTTATAACAAACTTCCTCTTGAAATTAGGAATTGCAACGATTGTGCAGAATTTAAGAAATTATTAGTTAATTACCTAAATGATTGGACATTCTATAATATTGAAGATTTCTTATAAAATTACATTTCACATTATTAAATTTGTTATTGATTATTTTACTATTGTTATTATGTTTCATTAGTATTAGGTTGCATTAATTGGACTGCATGATTATAATATTATTACAAATTATTGCATGAGAATTACTAAAACTAAGAAAACTTTGTATGCCATAAGGCGGATCACAGTGATTCAAAATTCATTCTTGTAACAACTTTATAACCTGTGTATCACAAAGAAATAAATGATTTGATTTGATTTGTTTCTGTCAGAGAAAAGTTTAAGGAAACTAGTATCATGACTATGGCACCACAGTACATTTACTCGGTACTTACCGTATTCCAGTTTTGAAGGGTAAGGGTGCTGGTGAAATTACAGGCACACGGGACTCGTCAACTTATGTCTCAGGGTGACGGGCGCTGTGACAATGCCCATAAGATCTTTGCGAAAGAGTGGCACTGTAACTGCTATAGACATCCGTGTCATTCACCATCAGGCGCATGACCTTAAAAAATGCCACTTTTTGTCCACAGTTCCAGCTTTTATGACGTCACACAGACCAATGGAACCCATGAAGACTACACCCCACAACCAAAACGAGCTCCCCCGTCCAGTCTATTTATGCACGCGTCACCCTTCATCTGCCCGTTGCCCAGCAACGCCAGCCTATTTGACTATGGACAGTATCATGGTTACCATGCACCCGGAGAAAATAGCTTTGAGAGACGAGATGGTAAGACTTGTGATGGTTTTATAAACTCTCTTTGTTGGATGATGAATTTTATGTGTGTAGAGATATTTACCTCTGTGGCCGAACGGTGGTCTAGTCCCGGATTCGATTTCCGGGCCGGGAGAAATATTTATATGGCCTACATTTATTTCTCTTGTGAGTTTGGATGTAATTTGTGGTTGCCTGTGTGTTTATCCATGGCGCCTGCGACTCATGGGAGCTTTGAGTGTGTGCATTATTAATCTTATTTATTTATTTATTTTATTTATTTATTTAATTAATTTCTTTCGAAGTATTTGTGATTTTTTATTTTCATTTGATCGTTTTATTTTGGCAATACTTTTTGTTCAGTTATATTTTTTTAGTTATATTACATATGTCTGTTATTATTTTTCATAAAAAAATACTATTCTCCTTACATATTTTGTATTTTTTTATTAATTATTACTATTGTTTATATTAAAAATGGTCATAATATTATTAGTAGCAGTAGAGCTCCTTGTGAAAGAGTCCGTCCAGGCCATCTTATCTATTTCTGCCGCCAAGTAGAAATGTGAGCATTACTGCGTTTAGCGCGGACCCGACGTCCATATAATTGTAAGTCAATGCCTTGACGTTACATTTTAAATAAAATTATGGCTGATAAAATTAATTAAATGATTTTATACTCCGTAGGTCTGTTTCATTGTACAGCAAATTTGATAAAAGAAATCCAAGTGAGAGAGTGTGTGTTTATGTTTGCCTGTGTTTGTATGTATGTGGGTGAGAGAGAATGACCTAGTAGCTTTTAGGCTTTACTGTGCATTTTCATTAGCGAATTTTCACATTTTCAATAATAATATACTTGTTTATTGCACAGGCGGCATATCCGTCCGCGATGTGAACTCAATGAACGCGTCTTTCTCGGAGTCGCGCGCGCTGGGCGGCGCCGGGGCAGGTCCGCTGCCTATGCGCAGCGACGACGAGTGGAAGAACATACATACAATGCTTAACTGCATACTTAGTATGGTCGAGAAGACTAAACGGGCTTTGGCTATCTTGCAACAGAGAGGTATGTAGCGCAGGAGTTTGTTACGTAATATCCGGTAAAGGATAAACTTTAGGATATGCAAAGAAAGTTGTAACGTTCTTTATTTAACAAAAAGTAAGCAAACTTCAGCTGCCACTTAGTTAACCGGTCAAATACAATATTTAGTAGTAGGTTTCATACGTCGTATTAGGGCGCGTTCCCAGTATGTCGTGACGACAGATAGTCGCGCAGTTTAAAGTATCGTGTCTTGTATATTTAAATAAAGTACATATAAACACGATTAACTGTCGTTCACGACTTTTTTGACGTTACGACAACAGACTGTCGTGACAATAGGAAGAACTAGAACGACAGTCGTTGACGATAAAAATGTGACGACAGATAATCGCAGCTTCCAACTAGTCTGTCGTGTAAACGACAATGCGGCTACCGTGAACCGATAAATTGTCGTTACGATCTAGTAGGAACAGTTAGACGCGACAGTCGTTCAACGATAAAACAAACGTCCACAACACAGTCACGATAGATAGTCGTGATATGGGAGCAGGCTAAATACGATAGACGTTCAACGATAAATACACATAAACACGACACGACGTCGCAACGTGGCATGACGCACGACACGACGTCGTAGCGTAGAAACTCAC